AGCTTCACCAAATCCAGATTATGCCTCATCGTACGCGGTAACAGTTAGATTTGTGCTCGTTTAGTGTGTTACATACACTTTGCTGCGTGGAACGGGATTATAAAATGTAAAAGAATATTAAAAAAGTGAATATATTTGAGGGTTACAATGGTCGAATCCCTCGCTTGCTCAAAAACCTCACTTCAATGCAGCGAACAACAGCAGCGACAGTAGCGCCATTCCCCCGCTGCCAATTGCAGCCATCAGTCCAGGTGCCGAGCTCTTGTCCTCTTCATCGTCAGGCTCGTCTCTTACTTCGCAGTTGACACAATCGGTGCAGACACGGCAGACTCCCTGATCTTTAAGAGAGTCCACAGCATACAGGGCATCGGCACGATTCTCTGAAACAAAGGACAAAAACACGATCAGTAAGTTAAACGGGAAACGTCAAAAATGAAACATTTTGCCAATTAGTGTTCCCGCAAGTTATAAAGGATAACTTAAATTTTGACCAAACATATTACGAGTGGGAAGCTCTACCCCCAATATTTACCACTGACTTGGATGATGTAAGGCTTTAAATGCTCTATTTTGCAAATCTTCGAGAAACAACCCATTAAGTTTTGCCCAACGAGAAAAGCAGGATCCCTACGACAACTACCAATTCGCTATATGAGATGCGTCTGCAGGGAATCATAGTTGTATTCAGCATCTAGGACTGGATATTTGTTTTAATGAAAACAACTACTATGATTCCCTGCAGGCGCATCTCATGAAGGGAACTGGTCATTGCACTTCACACAGTCGTTTTTCGTGTCACTCCAGATTTTCACGTGACATTATCGATTCCAGGCTGACTTTTCAGAGCCAACAAACAAATTATCACTAGTTCCGTCTAGCTGCAGCATTTTCCAGACCTTTTCAGCCTCCGGAAAATGCTACAGCAATTAATGCCGAGTCAGCATAGTTTACCTGGTTCGTAGTAACTGTAAACAGACGCCGAGGAAGGCTGAGGTTTGCCTACGTCATACGCACGTTGAAACGTCACTGTGACGCAGACCATTTTAGATGCTGGGATCTGAAAACCACAGAGATCTTTCGTCAATGACACCCTCTGGGCGGCAAAGAGGAGATGGCGAGGGGAAGTGGATTCAGAAATTATAAGAACCAACGCATTTTCAAATCTGCTACCATTTTACAGAACATTGACTAGGCAAGGTTGACTTTCACAAAATGGTTCTACATAGCTTGAAAAACGGTTACCCAAGACGGGAGCAATAGTTTTCGTCGACAGTCTTCTTACCCGGGCCCGGATTTGTAATTAAACTATAACAGGATACCCTCCCCCACCCCCAAGGGATTTTCTTGCGTTTGCTCAATAGCAGTTAACTGGTACCCAATTGTTCAGTGGATGCACAAGGCTAAACAGCGGATAAATCTCCGTAAAACGTATACGGTTGTTGGATATAAAATTACCTCATCAAAGTAGAAAAGCACTTTGCGATCTGGGGACTCCACACGCTTGAGCTTCAGAGATGAATCTGACATGATCTGATTGAGGAGAAAATAAGTGGAATCGATTAACATCAGACTTTTGCCTGACATGTCACCAGTCACGCAAACAGAACGACTACTACATATTTATTTTCAGGCGACAAAATAAATCAGAGTAAATTTAATTTTTTGCTCATAGTTACCTTGTCGACTGTGTCCCAGTCCAGTTCGAATCCGGAGGGTATCCCGACATCCATTACGGCCATGCCCGAGTTCTGGTTTCCGTCAGTCCACTGCGAGCAGGCTTTGACCTCTATCTCATACTCAGTTTCCCGGATGACTTCCAACAGGAAATCGAATGAACTGTCCTCAGGGGCTTTGTCCACGTTGTAGGTGACACCGATCTGGAGTGAAATAATAAATCAAACGATACCTTAAACAGTCGGGTCTTAAGGATGGCACACTATTGCCAAACAGCAGCTGTTATTGTGTAGGGCTAGGGGCAGTGTTTCTGTTGTTTGTTCTATTGTCCCCTCAAAGGGTATCAAGCCATTCATTGTGAGACCTTACGAGAACTGCTACCCGACACTTGCCAAATGGCCTAGAGTGGAGGGCTAGCGCGACTTCCACACTAACGGGGATTTATGTAGGCTCGATTTCCGCCGCTCTCTCGTGTCCGGTCTACGTTCCTCCCCTTCGGAGGAGGAGCGTGGGCTCCTTTCCCGAACAGCGGCTGGTAATCGAGCCTAGGGCTTATGTGGCCTTGGGAAGAGAGCATAGATAAAAGATCTTGGCGGTAAGCCACAGACTGAAAACTCGGAGAAAAATATAGCTTAGTTAAACAACGAGTGATGGCCTGGGCCGAGAGTAGCCGCGCGTGAGCTTTTGGGACTATTTGGAGAGGCGCAATGAACAAATTTCGCACAACTCTGCGAGGATCGCTAAATGCGATGCTCATTTCACTTTTTATCACATGTCGAATGTCAACTCACGGCCTTGTAATTAATTAAACCTGAGTTCGCCACCGTTCCTTCCCGTGTGATTCGCAAATAATCCCATAGGCACCCGAGCGGATACTGACGGCCTAGACTATCACTCCTTTTCCAAATGAGCTATTTAGAAAACAACAATCAACTCCCGTACCCTTTCGGCTACACGAGCAAATTTGGGATGTTTCATATTTGGTCTCTACACTAGATGCTAATAGTAGTTGGGACGTTCGACTGTGTAAACGTCTAATTTCTTCAGGTATGTTTTACCTTACCTGTAACATTCCTATCCCACGCCCGTTTGCCGTTACATCCAGGGAACCAGCCACATTTGGTATCTGTTAACAAACAAAAAGCATGTTGATACCAAAATATTCGAGTACTGACAAGTACTGAGTAACAACATTAGAAGGTAAAGGAGAGAGAGAGAGAGAGTTGCTAATCTCCCATACGGGCCTTTACCTTATCCCTAGGGAAATCCCGCGTGAGTTATTTTCAGTTAACTTCCGTTTTCGGAAATCCCAGGAGGATCTAAAAGTAGCTAATCCTGTGACGCGCATTCGTTCACGTGGACAACTCAAGCGGCTTTGCAAGAATTTTCATCTTCCACGAAAAAATCCACGCGACGCGCGTGTAACAGTATCCGCGGGGGGACTGGATACCGTCTATAAATAATTTGAGTGAGATTAGCTTGGATCCAATGGGCGATTGCCTGTCTTGCACTTTATACTCTCTTGTAGTTACTCAATACTCAAACTTATTAATCAAAATCCGATTTCCGCATTTCACAGAAACTCTGGAGAGTGTTTTCAAATGACAAACACTTTTGCGTGCGAAGGTTTAACATTTGAATGACACACAGTAGGATTTTATCCACAGATCAAAACGTCAGAGCCACCTTGCAGAGCGTTCTAAAATGTACCACATGACTGTAGTGCTCAATAGCTCTTATTTGAATGGTCACACACTAGGGTTTTATTCACAGATCATAAAGTTAGAGCAATTTTAAAGAGCGTAGTAAACAGTACCACATGAAAATCACTGCATAATACCTTTCATTTGAATGGTCACACACACTACCAGTTTGATACACTAGTGGTTGATTCAACGTTGGACTGTAAGAGCGAAAGGGTAAAAAATGCTCATCAAACTGGGAGAAATCAGTTATTACCTCCACTAACTGCAGCACCATGGAGTTTTGTTGATTGACAGTTACTGTTTTTCTGAAGTTTGGATCCACACTGGACATCAGCTGAACAGTGAAGTCAATATCCGGGGTATAAATCAGCTCGGCGAACTCCGAGAGGGCCTGGAGGCCAATCACGGTATCCTGAGAAATTAGAATATGCATTGATCACAAACTGCAACCAATTTTTATACAGAGAAAATGACCAAGACCACAAGTGCCAATATAGAGAAATGTAAATAAGAAGCACACTCCTGAAAACCTGTGATCAAAGACAATTGCAGAAAGCAAGGTCTCTGCGCAAGGGTGGGAAATCATGTAAACGATGATAGGCGCGGCAAAACATGGAATCAGTGAGTTGCAAGGGAAGCGACTAGCTGGCGCAGGAAAACATGTTACCAATGGCAACCGAGGAAAACTGGTAACCAGTCAAAAACGCGGGAAAACGTGTGGCAGGAGGTCAGCTGGGGATAACATGTTATGGATGGAGACGCCGACGAATCAGGTTACCAATGGAAGAGCGGGAAACTTAGGGCAACTGCATGGTCAGAAGCGCGCGAAAACATTTTAACCTAGTGACAACCACGGGAAAGCACGTAGCAAGTGGCATGAACTAAAATAGTCGACAATCTTTTCGATTTCTGTCTTTACTGACTTAATGATCCAAAAATCACAAGCAAACAAAATTACTCAGGAACAAATATCTGAAAAGCCCGTTATATAATCGACAATACCTGAGTCGAAGAGTAACCTCCCAGTGAGTTTCTCTGCTGCGATAACCAGCGTGATATTGCCAACCCAACACTGATGTCCTTGTTAAGNGATCAATCCAAGATCTCTCGGATCATGGTGCGTCAAAGGAACCGAAGAATCCATCACTACCTCCACCACGGATTTAAAAATCCAATCTTGGATTTTCTTAAAGAAACGCATCCTGAGGCTCTCTTTTTAATATTCCCCCGCATAAGCGTCCATTGCAAGCTAGTTCCAGTCCAATACCGAGAATAGGAATATGGTCTATTACCTCCGACAATCCATTTTAAAGCGATAGAGGAAATTCAGGGGGAGTTTTCACTGTTCTGGCCGCGGTTGTTCGAAGGCTGAATGAAGCTATCCACCGGATAAATCGCTATCCAGTGGATAAGTGTTAACAAAACAAACCACGCTTTCCACTGGATAGTGATTTATCCGGTGGATAGCGTTATCCACCTTTTGGACAACCCCGGCCAGATGCAGACTGCGTGCAGTCTCTCTTTTGCTCGTTACTTCCCGATGATTTTGGAGAGAAAGAGAGACGGCTCGCAGTCTGATCACGTGGTCGACAAGGTAACAAAAAGTGTCCAAGTAAAGAATGAGGTGCAATAGGTTTATTTCATGAATATACATTGACAGGTGGACACGCTAGTTATTCCATCACAGTTTTACTTGGGGAATGCATAACTTTCAAATACTATCTACAATCTATACAATCTATTTCTACCTGCAACGCTAAATAGTTACGTACCTATATACTTAATTACGTCTAAAACGTGAAAAATTAGTAAAATACGTTTGTACATCATTTCTCCTTTAAAAGTAGTTGCGGTGTTTTGGCCTCTACTTTATGCGGAGCGCGCGTCGTAGCGGCGAGGGCGAAATCGCGCGGCGAAGCCGCGAGACGAGAAAGTGCTCTCAAGGTGGGGCCTTTATAATGAATCATTGAGTATTCTGACTAGTTTTTGTTACCTTTTGTTGTGTGCTGTATTATGTTAAAAAAAAAAAAACTTTATATTTCAAGAATAAGAACCTGTATTGAGGTGAAGGGCGCTTAACTGGGAAATTTTAGCCAAACAGGTTCTTAAATGTCAGGTTCTTATAGGCGGGTTTTTACTGTAAAGTTATTCATAAAATGCTGAGTAATATGCGACCCACCAGGACGAGTCAGAGTACAAAGGAAGAGTGAAAAATATAAAAATTCTTCAGTTTAAAGAGTCTAACAAGACAGCTTCACCAAATCCAGATTATGCCTCATCGTACGCGGTAACAGTTAGATTTGTGCTCGTTTAGTGTGTTACATACACTTTGCTGCGTGGAACGGGATTATAAAATGTAAAAGAATATTAAAAAAGTGAATATATTTGAGGGTTACAATGGTCGAATCCCTCGCTTGCTCAAAAACCTCACTTCAATGCAGCGAACAACAGCAGCGACAGTAGCGCCATTCCCCCGCTGCCAATTGCAGCCATCAGTCCAGGTGCCGAGCTCTTGTCCTCTTCATCGTCAGGCTCGTCTCTTACTTCGCAGTTGACACAATCGGTGCAGACACGGCAGACTCCCTGATCTTTAAGAGAGTCCACAGCATACAGGGCATCGGCACGATTCTCTGAAACAAAGGACAAAAACACGATCAGTAAGTTAAACGGGAAACGTCAAAAATGAAACATTTTGCCAATTAGTGTTCCCGCAAGTTATAAAGGATAACTTAAATTTTGACCAAACATATTACGAGTGGGAAGCTCTACCCCCAATATTTACCACTGACTTGGATGATGTAAGGCTTTAAATGCTCTATTTTGCAAATCTTCGAGAAACAACCCATTAAGTTTTGCCCAACGAGAAAAGCAGGATCCCTACGACAACTACCAATTCGCTATATGAGATGCGTCTGCAGGGAATCATAGTTGTATTCAGCATCTAGGACTGGATATTTGTTTTAATGAAAACAACTACTATGATTCCCTGCAGGCGCATCTCATGAAGGGAACTGGTCATTGCACTTCACACAGTCGTTTTTCGTGTCACTCCAGATTTTCACGTGACATTATCGATTCCAGGCTGACTTTTCAGAGCCAACAAACAAATTATCACTAGTTCCGTCTAGCTGCAGCATTTTCCAGACCTTTTCAGCCTCCGGAAAATGCTACAGCAATTAATGCCGAGTCAGCATAGTTTACCTGGTTCGTAGTAACTGTAAACAGACGCCGAGGAAGGCTGAGGTTTGCCTACGTCATACGCACGTTGAAACGTCACTGTGACGCAGACCATTTTAGATGCTGGGATCTGAAAACCACAGAGATCTTTCGTCAATGACACCCTCTGGGCGGCAAAGAGGAGATGGCGAGGGGAAGTGGATTCAGAAATTATAAGAACCAACGCATTTTCAAATCTGCTACCATTTTACAGAACATTGACTAGGCAAGGTTGACTTTCACAAAATGGTTCTACATAGCTTGAAAAACGGTTACCCAAGACGGGAGCAATAGTTTTCGTCGACAGTCTTCTTACCCGGGCCCGGATTTGTAATTAAACTATAACAGGATACCCTCCCCCACCCCCAAGGGATTTTCTTGCGTTTGCTCAATAGCAGTTAACTGGTACCCAATTGTTCAGTGGATGCACAAGGCTAAACAGCGGATAAATCTCCGTAAAACGTATACGGTTGTTGGATATAAAATTACCTCATCAAAGTAGAAAAGCACTTTGCGATCTGGGGACTCCACACGCTTGAGCTTCAGAGATGAATCTGACATGATCTGATTGAGGAGAAAATAAGTGGAATCGATTAACATCAGACTTTTGCCTGACATGTCACCAGTCACGCAAACAGAACGACTACTACATATTTATTTTCAGGCGACAAAATAAATCAGAGTAAATTTAATTTTTTGCTCATAGTTACCTTGTCGACTGTGTCCCAGTCCAGTTCGAATCCGGAGGGTATCCCGACATCCATTACGGCCATGCCCGAGTTCTGGTTTCCGTCAGTCCACTGCGAGCAGGCTTTGACCTCTATCTCATACTCAGTTTCCCGGATGACTTCCAACAGGAAATCGAATGAACTGTCCTCAGGGGCTTTGTCCACGTTGTAGGTGACACCGATCTGGAGTGAAATAATAAATCAAACGATACCTTAAACAGTCGGGTCTTAAGGATGGCACACTATTGCCAAACAGCAGCTGTTATTGTGTAGGGCTAGGGGCAGTGTTTCTGTTGTTTGTTCTATTGTCCCCTCAAAGGGTATCAAGCCATTCATTGTGAGACCTTACGAGAACTGCTACCCGACACTTGCCAAATGGCCTAGAGTGGAGGGCTAGCGCGACTTCCACACTAACGGGGATTTATGTAGGCTCGATTTCCGCCGCTCTCTCGTGTCCGGTCTACGTTCCTCCCCTTCGGAGGAGGAGCGTGGGCTCCTTTCCCGAACAGCGGCTGGTAATCGAGCCTAGGGCTTATGTGGCCTTGGGAAGAGAGCATAGATAAAAGATCTTGGCGGTAAGCCACAGACTGAAAACTCGGAGAAAAATATAGCTTAGTTAAACAACGAGTGATGGCCTGGGCCGAGAGTAGCCGCGCGTGAGCTTTTGGGACTATTTGGAGAGGCGCAATGAACAAATTTCGCACAACTCTGCGAGGATCGCTAAATGCGATGCTCATTTCACTTTTTATCACATGTCGAATGTCAACTCACGGCCTTGTAATTAATTAAACCTGAGTTCGCCACCGTTCCTTCCCGTGTGATTCGCAAATAATCCCATAGGCACCCGAGCGGATACTGACGGCCTAGACTATCACTCCTTTTCCAAATGAGCTATTTAGAAAACAACAATCAACTCCCGTACCCTTTCGGCTACACGAGCAAATTTGGGATGTTTCATATTTGGTCTCTACACTAGATGCTAATAGTAGTTGGGACGTTCGACTGTGTAAACGTCTAATTTCTTCAGGTATGTTTTACCTTACCTGTAACATTCCTATCCCACGCCCGTTTGCCGTTACATCCAGGGAACCAGCCACATTTGGTATCTGTTAACAAACAAAAAGCATGTTGATACCAAAATATTCGAGTACTGACAAGTACTGAGTAACAACATTAGAAGGTAAAGGAGAGAGAGAGAGAGAGTTGCTAATCTCCCATACGGGCCTTTACCTTATCCCTAGGGAAATCCCGCGTGAGTTATTTTCAGTTAACTTCCGTTTTCGGAAATCCCAGGAGGATCTAAAAGTAGCTAATCCTGTGACGCGCATTCGTTCACGTGGACAACTCAAGCGGCTTTGCAAGAATTTTCATCTTCCACGAAAAAATCCACGCGACGCGCGTGTAACAGTATCCGCGGGGGGACTGGATACCGTCTATAAATAATTTGAGTGAGATTAGCTTGGATCCAATGGGCGATTGCCTGTCTTGCACTTTATACTCTCTTGTAGTTACTCAATACTCAAACTTATTAATCAAAATCCGATTTCCGCATTTCACAGAAACTCTGGAGAGTGTTTTCAAATGACAAACACTTTTGCGTGCGAAGGTTTAACATTTGAATGACACACAGTAGGATTTTATCCACAGATCAAAACGTCAGAGCCACCTTGCAGAGCGTTCTAAAATGTACCACATGACTGTAGTGCTCAATAGCTCTTATTTGAATGGTCACACACTAGGGTTTTATTCACAGATCATAAAGTTAGAGCAATTTTAAAGAGCGTAGTAAACAGTACCACATGAAAATCACTGCATAATACCTTTCATTTGAATGGTCACACACACTACCAGTTTGATACACTAGTGGTTGATTCAACGTTGGACTGTAAGAGCGAAAGGGTAAAAAATGCTCATCAAACTGGGAGAAATCAGTTATTACCTCCACTAACTGCAGCACCATGGAGTTTTGTTGATTGACAGTTACTGTTTTTCTGAAGTTTGGATCCACACTGGACATCAGCTGAACAGTGAAGTCAATATCCGGGGTATAAATCAGCTCGGCGAACTCCGAGAGGGCCTGGAGGCCAATCACGGTATCCTGAGAAATTAGAATATGCATTAATCACAAACTGCAACCAATTTTTATACAGAGAAAATGACCAAGACCACAAGTGCCAATATAGAGAAATGTAAATAAGAAGCACACTCCTGAAAACCTGTGATCAAAGACAATTGCAGAAAGCAAGGTCTCTGCGCAAGGGTGGGAAATCATGTAAACGATGATAGGCGCGGCAAAACATGGAATCAGTGAGTTGCAAGGGAAGCGACTAGCTGGCGCAGGAAAACATGTTACCAATGGCAACCGAGGAAAACTGGTAACCAGTCAAAAACGCGGGAAAACGTGTGGCAGGAGGTCAGCTGGGGATAACATGTTATGGATGGAGACGCCGACGAATCAGGTTACCAATGGAAGAGCGGGAAACTTAGGGCAACTGCATGGTCAGAAGCGCGCGAAAACATTTTAACCTAGTGACAACCACGGGAAAGCACGTAGCAAGTGGCATGAACTAAAATAGTCGACAATCTTTTCGATTTCTGTCTTTACTGACTTAATGATCCAAAAATCACAAGCAAACAAAATTACTCAGGAACAAATATCTGAAAAGCCCGTTATATAATCGACAATACCTGAGTCGAAGAGTAACCTCCCAGTGAGTTTCTCTGCTGCGATAACCAGCGTGATATTGCCAACCCAACACTGATGTCCTTGTTAAGCGAGAAAGCCAACAGAGCATAGGCAGTGATTTCAATATCAGCGGAGCGCGGCCGGTAATATGGCCGCCACCAGGGATTGTCGTTCGGTTTGCTAACTTCTTGCTTTTCTTGCCAGTACATCAGACCATCTGAAACGTTGAGTAGAATACCAAGAAAAATGTAACTCTGATAACGCAACCCATGCGAAACAAGTGACAGAAAGATGATTAAAGTTGATAAAAATGATGTTTGTTGAGAGCGGCCAGCTCAAACCTGCATATAGAACAATACCAGTAACTAACGCTAAAACGACAATTCTTTTCCCAAATGCTTCTCAGCAAGTCACTAAATTCATTTAAAGCATGCCAAAGAAAAACAGCCAATAAGAAAACAAGAGGGCAGTTGCACACTCGACGGTATTACACTCAACCTTCCCATCGTGCGCTGCGGGTATGTCGCATCGATGGCGTTGGTCACTTTATTGTCTAGGGGGAGGTATAAGTACTTATGCAACGCTTTCGAGTGGGTATACCTTGGAATATCCAACGACTCGGAGTCACATATTTTCTCGGGATTATTTAATACTCTGTTCTAAAATACTCTCATTCCGTTAGCCTCACCTTTTTCAGTTGCCAATTTACGCAGTTCAGCAAGGGCTTTCACTTTCTTCGCACTTCCAACCAATGACAAAGCGTAGGCAGTGATAGCTAATGTGTAAGCGTCTTTCATGTCACTTGACATCGCATCAACCTTGTTTGCCAGGAAATTTACGGCGCCATTCTTGGCATTAATAACGGCCTACAATGCAAAAGATTTGACCATGTAAAAAAAGAGAAAGAACGCGCTGCTTTCGCTGTACAGTTGCTGCGCAGCGACGCTTCCGTTGCGTGAGATGACCGACCACGCATGAACCTTTATTACCGTTTCTTTCAGTTTTAGAGCACTTTCCTGCCACATTAGCCTGCTGTCGCTTCTCCCCACTCAAATTTTTTCGATGGAGACAAGCGACAGCCGGAAATACGTCTGCGTTCGCAGGCTACTGCCACGCCAGCTGCCCTCCATTTGTTAATTAATATATCACAGCACGAATTTGGTTATGTTAAAAAATAAATAAATAAATAAATAGGGTATTTATGCATCGCTGCGAAAAGAAAATTTATTGCTTGTGACACATTCCCTCCTTCTTCTTCGCCTAGTTTCGCCCCCTCTCACCCCACTCTCCAGTTCTGTCACAGCTTACCTGAGACTTAGAGTTCGCTTCTGCCAAAGCGATGAGTACAAACGCAGTGAGAGAAATCACGCCTTTCTGACCACCCTGAAAAACCAAAACAGTCAAATAGAAGGTTACTTCACCGACAAAAGTGTACAAACTTCCATTGCCATGGCCAGTTTCCGTATGAAGGACTAATTCAATGCACATCAACAAAATAAAGCCTGTGGAGCGAACATGAGACATGAAAATAAATACATCCTTTCTATCGGGTGAATTAAAGTAAGGGACGAAAGGGTATATTCAATTTCTTTAACAGCCAGGAGAGATATTGTTCCTGAAATTTGTGGTAAATGTAACATAACATTTACCTTCATTAACTTCTTAAATTCATGATCTACTTAAATAAGTGAAGCTATAATACAATACGGGAAGGAGATTGTGACAACTCCTATAACCAATGCAGGAGAAACTCGCCACAGTAAGAAACGTACCTTGAGCACACTGCTATGAACTGCGCCAACTTTTCGGAAGGATCCATCTCTGTCTGTATGACGGGCCATCCATTCAAGACTGTCTTCTAATAACTTGTCGTCTATGTATTCAGGGATAAACGCACGGGCTTGTGCAAATGATTTTGTAACAAATGCAGTCAGCCTGTCAACAGACAAGAAACGTAACCACACTAAGAAGGTAGAAGACTTCAAAGTGGACGAACAACCCAGAAACATTTTTACAACGTTATCCCTGTTTTAGATTTGCCAGTCTCAACTTTGGCGCTGTGTGTCCCCGAAAAACGCAGTTGAGTTCTTACCATGTGCTTCCTGACGGATCGCGTTCACCAAAAGCGCTGTAAGAACCATCCTTGTGTCTGTAAGTCTGTTCCCTTTGATATCCTGTGAAGGGATTAAGATAGTCCTTGAGAAAACAAAGCAAAACAACCTAGGGTGGCAGCCACTTATATTCAAACAACCCCGACTTGTCACTGATATTCTACAAAGGTGCCTACACTACTTTTGAAGGCGATTAGCTATACAGAATTCTACCCCGCGCAGAATGACCGAGAATGGAATAATTTTCGTATTAACCTCACACTACGCAGTCTAAAGGTGTTTCATTCACTGGCCCTTTCCCAACTTCACAGGACGGCACGACTATCACCAGCCTTGAAGGAAGAAAGACAATCGTGGAGGGAAACAAAGTTGACAGTAAGAAAGACAATCGTGGAGGCAAACAAAGTTGACAGTAGGGACAAAAATGATGGCTTTTTCACCAACGGTTCAACTCGAAAAAGCGTCCCTGTTGCTCACACTGGCGGGTGCCTGTTCGTTTCCGAACTCATAGGAGACAATACGAGCCTTAGAATCATGGAGAAACTTCTTATCACTGACCTGATATCATGTAATTTTTGGCTTTACTTTGGAGTTTTTGTGTCAGCTGGTTAACAGTCTTCAAGTATTTCATGACGTAGATGTTGGGAGCGAAGTTTACCATGTTCTGCTCCCCGCAGCCATAAGGCATGCGCACTAGGTGATCCAGATTGTTTATGGACGAACCAAGAATGTCACCTAGATAGCAAGACAAAAGTATCCAACACAACTAACTAGGCTGTGGTGAAAACGTTACGTGGTGAGCGATGGTTAAAGGAGTTCAGTCACGGTATTTTGAGTTATTAAAAGCTGGATCATTCGATAATGCAAGTCAAGAGTTTTCATTGGCTTAGCCGTTATGGTATATGAGCCATTATACTATGCTCTACAAATATGGTAAGCGCGCATCTTGTTTGGAACGTTTTCATCTTTATTTTACTTTAGTTTTCAATATTTGAAGGGCGTTTTAGACAAAACAGTTATTCCACTCGGGCTTATTCATGAGATGATTAAAGCCAACAAGGCGCTACGCACCTCGTTGGTTATCTACCATCTCATATCCAACGCGCGTTCGTGGAATCATTTGTTAGTTATTTGGTTACGTACAAACTTTAAATTGAAGGAAACCTGAAAATAATAGCTCACTAAGATAGAACAACACTAAAGAGATAACAATAAACCATAAAGAAACAAGGTTGGTTAAGGATTGACACGGATCACAAACGACGAATTTGAAACATTTAGGTTAAACTTTTCAAGATGCGCAAATCGTAACACAGTTCCTGTAAGTTTGTTCATGAGTATGCCAGAACTTTTGAACGAGTCACAGATCGTCTAACATCTGCAAAAATACGATTCGTAAAAGCAATCCATGGATTGAGCTCAAGAATGCTTCTGCATTAACGAGAATAAACTGAAATCAAACCTACCCATGATAGAAACCGTCGCTCTCGCAGATCCCTTGACAGTGTTCGGTGGTACACTGAGGTCCAGCGTACGTGACAGGCGTGACGCTGCAATAGAGTCACGTAACGGTTAGTCACAGTAACAACTGACCAAGAGTCATGGCTAGTTCAGTGACTAGATTAGCCAAGGTTGTAGAACAAAAAGCATATAGCTAAGTTCTGGCTCATCAGTTAAACTGCAGAAAGTTTCTTTTCATTTCTAGCTAATCATCTACGTTTACGGTTTTACCTTTTGACACAATGGTGTTGTAACCATACGCCCCATACAAGACTTTCGTCAAGTTTCAGTTATTTACAAACACGATCTGCATAAGCCGAAGTAGCGTTTGCAAGTACTCATTCTATTCATTGATTTCACAGGGATAGGAACGGTTTGGCGACTTGGACAGCCAACGAAAAGCACACGACAGCACCCATCGGTGCTGAAACAAGAACCGCCTCCACTACGACCTTAACAACGATTTCTGGGGTTAGAGAACAAGACCTTAGTGCACCTAAGAAGGGTAGCACGGCCGTAGCTTGTAACAGGCAAACCGAGGCACGTACCTCAGTCATTTTTATCTTTTTTTGTTGTCTATAGTCATCGTAAACACCCTAAACTATCTAGGAAGAGAATTTAACTATGTACATTGCCCCAGCCATAATTTTTTCATGGACATTACCTCAGTCATACAGATAGTAACACATAATGTGCTATGGGAAAAGAAACAAGTCAGTGGAAACGTTAGAAAGAGCCAGGCAAAGCCATTTTCTTGCTAGTTCGATTTGTCCACCGCCCCGCCCTTAATGAAACCTCTGCAATACACGAAAATCGACACTGAAATTGGATAAGGTACAGACAAAAGCCAGAAATATTTTTACTTACTTGAATTAAGATCCAACAACATACTGATGGAGTATTCCTGTGGCACTCCCTCGGCCTGGAAAATAAAATACAATAAATACAATTTTGTAAGTATCTTAAATTTTAGGACACAAGATCGTGACAAAATTTCCTTTCCAACAACAACAACAACAACAACAACAACATAAATAACTGAACGTTAACCGATAGCGTGACCGCAATGGTGAACTCAACCAATCACATCGTGAACTGAGCAAAAACACAAGACCGCTGGCGAGCAAAACATTGTTCTTAAACCGGAACCTCCTTTACATCCGCACCCGTCATCATTGCTAATAGATTTCACAATCTTTTTTCTTTATGGACTTTCTAAATGACAATGCCAAATGTTTCAAAAGTTGCAGTGACTGTTTACGCAGCGAATATCAGTGTCCATCTTATTTATGCCAAAAAAACCCACTCCATCCCAACTTCTCAATATTTACCTCCACCAGCAATTTTCGTCTAACAGCGTCTGCGTTGGTCTTGGACTGAGCCCGCACTTCAATTGGCACGAGGCCTAACTTTCTAGGAACCACTGGAAAAGACACAGCTTTGCCTTCACCGGCTTTCACGGTCACCTCGACTTTGAGGTCCATCGCTTTGTCCACGTAATCCTTGTTTAGGGAAGTCTCGCCTCTGAGGCCGAGTGTGTTGACTTCGTCGATGATGGCCCAGTCCTGAGAGCCTTTCAGTGTTATAGTTACCTGAGTCAGGAAGAAACAAGATAGCTTGCTTATTGACAGAATGATTTCACAGAGCCTCGACTGGCTTTGAAGCCTGGTCCACCGTTCGCTTTTAAAGTCCTGGACAAACAGACTCCCAAGTGGACGGAAGTTGAAAACTTGGGTCTACTCGCGACTCCGTTCGGCCAGGCCTTGCGTGCCCTCGCGTTGACTTGCGATGCCTTGCGCTCACTTTGGTCGAGATCAAATTTGCACGCAAGTCGACGCAAGTTTTTCACCGTCTGACCACCCATCCCAAGTCAACGCAAGTTGAGTGACGTCCAGTCGCTGTTATAGCAACCTGTTAGCCGATGAAATACAGGATTTTGGCCACGCGGGGAAAAGCGCGTAGCCTTGGAATGTTTTTCTTTTGCGACTTGCATGTACTTGCGTGGAAACATGGCCACCCAACGCAAATCTCCACTCAGGTTCAACTTGCAGCTTCTTGCGACTACTTGCGAGTCCATTTGGCCAGGGCTTTAAATAGTTTGTAGTTTGTGAACTGTGGACCAACTGTCGGAACACAACTATCGGTATATGTTCACTTACCAGTTGCGGCTCCGGCTCGTAATTGAAGACTGTCACTTGAAGAGCGACCTCTTCACCACGAACAACAGAGTAAGGAAGATTGAGTGACACAAAGAACGACTGGAACACTTGCACCTGAAGGCCAGCAAAATCACAGATTTATAATTGAGATCGATTTTTAGAACTAATTTTAAAGACTTAAAAGGTTGACTTATAAAACGGAAAGGACGACATTTGGCAGAGAAGGTAGCATGGTAAAAGGACCCTTATTGCAAATGAGGAGGGTTGTAACTGTGGCACTTTCGGAAACGTCCCTGACTGTGAGAGGAAGTAAATTTCTGAGTTGCAAGAACACTCGATTTAGCCGTAAAGAGGAATGAAGGGGCAGAGCTAAAAAGCATATGGAGTGGAGGGTATGGAAAGCTAGGGGTATGAGAAAATGTCTTCTTACGTCGGTATCAATAACTTTTTTCTCGTGTTTATTTCCCTGTTGGAAACTTTGTTATTTGAAACACTATCTGCGATTTGAGTATTTGGAACAGTGAGTCAGTAATAAGTCCAAAACAAAGCAAACGAAAGTACAAACAAAAAATTAAGGGGCCTTGTTATTTCTAGCCTACGCAGTGTATTTGACAGCTACCCCACAGTCCAACTGTTAACACACGCCAGACAAATGGTACCTGAGGTTTAAGTTCTCCAACACCCAGTCCTGTGGAGTTTGACACAGCAAAAGCACTGGCTACCCAAGTGGTCAGTGTATCAGGGACGGCCCTCTGAAATTCAACATCACCTGTCGAACTAAGAACAAACTATACATTTCAGCGTCGTAACTAAAAGGCTTGCACACTTAACGCCTGATTTAAAGAACGTAATTAACAATTAAAAAGACCCTTAGAATAGACAGAAAAATATACAATAAAATATTAAATACGACTAATAATTTAAACCTACAAATTAAATAAAACACCTCATCATTGCAACGACAAAACAAATTCTGTTTTACAGGACGTTGGGTCACTTCTCTGGTGCAACCCCGCCATGATTGAAACTCTACAAATACGCTTGTCGGAGAGATTAAGTTGGAATCCCCCAACCTCCTCCCCTTTCCTACTTTAAAGAACCCGTGTCATGACAATGCGCATGTACGACTTTGATTGACACTAGAAGGCCCACTGCAAGGTTTTTCAACCAATAGAATTGAACGACTCAGCGCCACGCCGATACACTGTCAGTAATTATTTGGCGTTATTTCCTGCAGCTATAACATAACTTTTGTCTTTAGACACCTCATTGTCCCCCCTTTAATCCTTTGAACAAGCCGCTTCGAAAACTTTACCTGGAGAACGTCAAACGTCTCTCCGATCTTCGCACAAAACTAGTAAATATGGTGCACAAAATCTCTACAAACGAACAATCATCTCGTCAAAACCGTTACTATAACCTCCTCAGTTCTCATGAGATCGATGGAAAAGGACCAACCTCGAACCCCGAGTCTTCCTTCCCCTTGACCAGCGGTCAGGAAGCGAGCGATTCTGGAACGTTCTGATTTCCATTGTTTTTAGAACCAATCAAAAGCGAGCTTGGAACAGAATTCTCGAGAGTCACTCGTTTCGTCAAGCTTGCGCAGTAAGGAACGAAGACTCAAGGAACAAGATTGGAAAAGGGTTATCCCCAAATATAGGAATTACGATGGGCTGTTTTATATCAAGCGTTAGCTGTACTGGCAAACCTACCTGGCATCGTATTCTAACCAGATCCATGTTTCAGGAAATAAACTTCTGACACGCTTTACCTCGGCAAGTTTTGGGACTCCACCGCCTNTCAAACTCATTAATAATTCATCAAGTTTAAACAAAGGAAATCATGCCATGACGGTGTTTGGATATCTGATCTTAATCAGCTGAGAGTTTTATGATTTTCTTTCTCCGTTTTCTTTCTCCATTTTCTCCTTAATTTAAGTTTTGATTGAGATGTTATATCAAACACTCAAGACAGTGTTTGACCACATTTCCAAACACCTTGAAGTTCATCAAAAATACTCCGCTACGCGTCGTATTTTGAACTCTCTTCTCGGTGTTTGGAAATGTGGTCAAACACGGTCTTTCGTGTCTGATACATTACGTAAAAGACTGGCATTCCTCTGAATTTTTATCCTGATTAACGTACTTCCATTACCTCAAAGATGTCAGCCGCATTGCCTCCTGTAGTTGGAAAAGGCATAATTGAACGGCGACTCCGCTGAAAGCCCCACTCCCAAAATGGGTACCACACTTCAGCAGAATCGTAACTTTGAAGGTCTCCGAGTACCTGTAAAAATCAACATTATGTCTAGAATTATGGAGAAAAAGAACAACCACACTTAAGGGCTCATTTTTGCAAAATTATGCGTAACTGTAACATGTTTTAGTTTATTGTTTTTGTAGCCTTTTCTCGGGTCTCTTGCCGCTGCATTAGATGAGGAATACGCTTCCACAAGTATTTTGGCCAGATCTAAAGAGTGTTTTTGTTTAGTGGTTTTTGGTATCCAGCGTAGGACAGGCTCTAATTGTCATCAGTTAGAACCAATGGTTGTAATTTGCAAGGATACAGATTATCTGACAAGACGGAATTACGAATACATAGTCTACATCAGATGACTGACTGACGCATCCTCAATAAACTATTCACATTAAATGTCCCGAGTCAGTGTAGTCAGAATTGAGGGTAAAGTCTGGAATGTAGCAGATTACCTTGGTGACAGAGAGATCAGTATCTTCTTTCATTAAAAGCACACTCTTATCAACTGCGCGGAAGGCCATAAACGACCCTGGTGCCGCTTTGCCTTTGATGGTCACGGTGTCGCCAGGAGAGACTGTATTTTTGTTGTTGGTGTCAATGGTCAATGAGACCTGAAAAAAAATTTACTAAGACTGTGTATACCGTAACGCCTTCCTCAATGACTCAGTCCTATAAAAGACCAGGGCCACAGCCAAAACAGATATGACTGAGGTAATGTTATTTGTTTGTTTGTTTATTTATTTGCGAGAAGTGTGTTTTACTTTCCCCCTTTGAAAACAACAACAACAACAACAACAACTGCCTCGCAAAGTGGAGGTTGGGTGCCTGAGACAACCAGGAGCTTCCACTATTGGCAGCCAGCTCGTAGATGGAGACCCCTCCCATGGCTGGCAAATCCTGGCAACCCGTTGCAGCCATGAGCCCCCACGCAGGAAAGAGAAAACAAGTACCCGTCACATAGATAAAACAGTGGAAAGAGAAGGGAGGGACAGGGGAGGTGAAACAACCTCTGAGCAGGGTTCCCGCGGTTGAAACTCAGATGCTCGAGGAAAGCGCTGACAATTTAAAACTACTTGAATGCCTTGTGGCCCAAGAACACGTGGAATCCTGGCGCACGCGCAGATCTAAACGCTGCTGACCGTAAAGGCAAGACTTGCACTCCTTGTTATTAACTCCATTAAATTGCAATTACATAACTGCAAGAACAGAAATGACCGAGGCAAGTGCCTCGGTTTGCCGGTTACCTGCTATGGCCATGAAGACACATCTATGATTTAACGTGTTTAATTTCATATATATTATTGGCTTTTCCGATGCGCTTACTCTGTCACCTACAGCTGTACGTAACGTGAACTACAAACCACTTGAAGATCCTTACTTGATTTTGAAAAGGGTCGTCTATTTTAACATTCAGAGTGTCCACCACAATCTCGCCATCTTTCTTCATGCAGTAGACCAGTAGGCGTGCAGTAGGAGCCATGCCTGGTTTGGATTGGATATTAAATGAAGTCTTGGTGGAACCGGGTGATACAACAGGCGTACCTGTTTCTACTGCCATTCCACGTGCCAACACCTAATTGCACAAACAAACAAAAAAACAAACAAACGAACAAAGCACTCAGTACTAATTTTTGACATTCCTCAGCCATTGTTGGTTTTTTCAAAGCTTGGCCAATTCAAAGCCATGTACATTTGGCTAAGATGAACAACAGTGGCACCCTGATTAAAAAGTCTTGTTAGCCTTGCCACCTAGATTTGAACACCTGATCTCTGACTTTGCAGTCCATCTTCATCTCCACTAGGCCATGCAAGCAGTCATTGCACATTTCCTCAAATGTTGGTGTAATAAGTTATTGCTACCAAATCCCCCTTCCCCTTTGACACAAATTAACCTACATTCTAGGTTCAAATCATTCTGACCTAAGGAACAAATTGTCAGGTACATGCAAACAGCAACTTTTGCAGTTACGTTACACACATGTATGTGCTGAGCTGGGTAATTTTGCGATGGAATATGATCTCACCCAGTGGAAAAGAAAAACTTATATGAGAAGAGAAGAGTATTGTACTGTGACACAGGTATATTCTGGGAAAGAATTCTGAGTTTTCCAGTTAATACCATGTACATGTACCAGGTTTGATATCTCATTAGCAGAAATGAGCAAAAGCCTCCTATGATGTCTTTGCAGCCTCATATTTTGATATCTCATTTATCTTGACTGCTTCATGCTACAAAATTAAGTGACAGTTTCATTAGGACTACATGGTTGGTGAATAGGTCTACCAAATGTTGTGCCTTTTGTGACTTATGCATTCAGCTCAGACTGGAATGGCTCTATCTAAAACAATGAGCATACCATGTATTTTAACTCTGAGAGTGTGAAAGTGGCTTCCACATCCAAAGCAATGTTCTCACCAGCCTAAAATAAGAGATACCTATATCAGTTTGAAATAAAAAATATTAATCCCATTCAGCCCATCCACCTGTCTGTCCATCTGTCAGTCCATCATTACGTCAGAGCATCAGTGAGTCTGTCAGTTGGTCAAGTTATTCAGTAATTCATTTAGTCACTCAGTCAGCCCATCCATCTGTCTGTCTTTTTGTCCTTCTGTCTGTCCATCTATCAGTCAGTCAATCAGTCAGCCAATCAGTCAGTCAGTCAGTCAGTTAGTCAATTGATTCTGTCTGTCAGTCATACAAGGAGTTCCTTAGTCCATTCCTCCGTCCATCCATCCATCAGTCAGTCAGTCAGTCAGTCAGTCAGTCAGTCAGTCAGTCAGTCAGTCAGTCAGTCAGTCAGTCAGTCAGTCAGTCAGTCAGTCAGTCAGTCAGTAATCCAGTCTGTGAGTCAGTAAGCCAATCTGTTTGTCCACCTGGCCATTCATCAGTCAGTAGTTGCTTAATTAGTTTGTGTATTGAATCAATCTGTAGGTCAATGTCAGTGACTCAGGAGTCAGCTGGTCATGCAATCGGTAAACATGTCAGCCTAAATGTCAGACAGCAAATCAGTAGATCCATGGACCAGCTGTGTCAATCCTGAAAGGTTGAAAACCTACCACCTGCTCATACATGTACACTGTATATACATTTATTACCAAGTATAATGCATTAAGGATTAATTAATCAATCATAACCTTCACTGAAGGTGTGGGAGTTGATAACTGCATGAATGAGTTGCTTGGAGAAGATGATTTAGATGCCGACAAATATGCTTTTACTGTCTTCAGACCCTCTGAATATTCTGCCTGTGGAATAACCAGAAATAACTGCTGATGAAATCTAAATGTCATCTAAATGCAAGGACAATCAACCGGTTTGACTAAATAAAAAACAAAAACGTTTTCCAACAAAACTACTATTTCACATTAATAAAAATTCTGGACCAGTGGTAGAAATAACAGTCAGTCTGACCACACTTAGGAAACTGTCAGACTAATTTTACACTACAATTGACCCAACAAGACCATGCACAAAACAACAGCACTTTTAGTCTTGAAGATCTTGTTTGTAGACTATGATTGCTTTAAAACAATCATGCTCGAAATCATAAATCAAACAGATCCATGGTTTGCTTTGCTTTAATGTAATAGCCTTTGCAGACTGGCGTAAAATGCAAAAAAAAAACCCATCTGCTTTGAATATCATTCCCTAATACATGTAAATTACTACGACACTATTTACTACGTGTATGCCCACAGATTGAGTCATTAGATTATTTGTGAATAAAAATTCCAAATCAATAGACCTCTTTAGCTTGGATAGTTTGTTGCCCCATTACAGACCATGTGATGATACTCTTGACAGGGCTGTCATTAAAGACCATAACCCATAACACCTGTTATGGCTGAGTACGCTTGATTTTCCCTTGATGTTACACGTGAAATTGCCTGTTGTTGATAAAATTCACCCATAAAGTAACAAATTTGCTATGGGCGTGGAGAACAAGGCATTACAGGTGACTAAAAGCATAATCACATCCCTGCTTGAGAAGTCTTGCTTTCAAATCTTCAAATGGTCCTGTGTAACTATTGAATGAACAATTTTAAGATGGATAACAGAACAATTCTCTAGAGAATATCACGTGGTCTGAAATAAGAAAACAAACTGCCCAAGCTCAAGGGGTATATTAACATAAATGTGTGGCTAAAATTTATTGGTAAAAGTGTCCAGGCAAAAAAAAAATTATTAATAAAGATTTGAAAGAATCACTGCCACACATCCTGCTACATCTTAAAAAAAAGTCTCTTGTAAAATAATAAAACAACCTGTAAATTGCTACTGCAGATTGGTCCAAATAAACCTTTACAGGTAGATAAATATTTTAACACTTGAGTCAATGATGTAGTATCACATTGTATATGTATAGTTGAATTAATCTGGTCAAATCGTACACATTTCTTGGCCTTACTCAATGTTTATGTTATGGACAACATGATTGCATAATGTGATCCCAGCTAAGAGGATTAAAACATAGAAGACAGTTTCTGAAACAAACCTGTAAACTTAATGAGTAATCTGCTGATGAAGGGATGTTTCTTGTGATAATGATGCCTCCGTCATCAAAATGAGGTAAGACTTCTTCACTGCCTTTATCGCTCCAGTCGTACTTTGTTGTAATTCTGACCTTACCCTGTAGTTTTTGCAGTTTATCTGGACTGACTGGTTCACCATCAGGCTGGACAACTTGAAGCTAGAAAAGAAGTATTTATTTCAAATAAATTTAATACGTACTCTGATCACTATTTTTCGTAATGCAAGATTTGTTTGTGATGTACATGTAGCTGCAACTGTGGAGTGTCCCTAATTAACAATATGTATGTATGTATATGCAATCCAACAAAATTATTTGAATTTTCTGCACCATGATAAATAATTTATTGGTCTTGTGATGTATTCCAAACTAATGAATGCCTATGATGACATGACATGCAATGAAATACATGTTCAAAAATTATTGACACCATTAATTAGTCAGAATATTTTCATTGATGACACTGATGTTTGATGGCCTGGACTAAGATCCAACTTACCAAAGCCTTGAAAGGTAATCCTGGTTTGAAGTTTTGAGGATTGAATTCTGCAAATTTCAACTTAACATCCATCTCATAAAAAGAAACGCTTCCTTGACCGCTAGCTACTTTGCCTGTGAGGTCCTCATGAAAGGTTGCATTGACCATCAGTGTGTAGCCATATTTATAAAGGATGCTTGCATCACTGACATACTGAAAAGAGTCTTTAAATAGCTGAAGAATAAAGGTCTTTCCAAAGGAAAATGAGCCACTGCCATCGACAACCTGAAAAAATATACCAACTTCAGCCGCACTTTCTAGTTAACATAGAGTACACTGTCTGCCTGCTTCATTTAGCCACCAACAAGCACTTCCCATGAGGAACGCTTCTTGTTGGTTACACAAAGTTCCTTCCAGTGAAATCAGTTTGGTAACACACATTTTGCTCTACACTGATGTAAACAGAAAAGAGTGCCAGGTATTCACCTATGAAGTAACCGAAGGAAACTAAAAGTAGAAATAAGGTGATGGTGAGACAGTGTGTTCAAAAGCCTTTCCAGAATCACTATAGCAATTATTATAAGTGATTTTGTTCAAACTTTTATGAAATTACTGACTGCAAATCAACAAGATCTCTGCTTTATTTAAATCGATTTTCTCCTGAAAAGTGGCCATCCCCAAGAAAGCCAGATGGCCACCTGGCTAAAAGTCTGGTTCACACCAGCTATATGTAGTAAGTAACCAAAAGGATTCTTGCTACATGTACATTGTAGACTTTATGTACAGTGTAAGTAAGTTAAGTAAAGTAAGCAACCTTTATTAATGTGGTCTAATACACTTATAGGTGGCTCATATTGTAAGTACATGTATTGCCATTTCCAGGTATAATGCCACAAACAAAACAATGAAACAGAAACAAAAACATTAAGATATTCGATGGCAATGGAGAACACCGCTGATTGATTGATTGTAGCTGATTGAAAATGAAATAATGCAGTGATACTTTTGTGNACTAGATTGTCCGATAATGCCAATACATACAATACATACATGTAATTTATTGTTAAAATTTGACCTTTACAAGCTAATTTTCATACATATTGAAATATCCGTAGCAATAATCTAGAGCACGTACAAAAAAATGTGCTGATCCATAGGAGTTAAAGAAACAATTAGGAATACTTACAAGAATGTCTTTAGCGAGAGAAAGTTTCTTTTCCCACCCATACGTATTAAAATAAATCTGAACATTTGCTCTTCCTCTAGCTCCCTTGCCATATGTGTACCTTCAAGAATAAGAAAGATAAACAATTAGAAAAAAACAATTTAAGGCACAAAAATGTAAATAAGCGGACACCTTGTCATGTTCCTGATGTTGTTTCTGATTGGTCAACTCAAGATAATCCCTGCAAATTTTTGAGGATTTCTTTTAAGCAATGTAGGAGTGGAGGGAGGGAGGGGGGCATCTATTATGAATAATATATTTAGTATTATATTTTAAAAACTGGATCATTGGATAATGCAATTCAAAAGTTTTCATTGGTTTAGCCATCACGGTACATGTACGTGTGTATATGAACCATGATAACCCATCGAATATTTTTCACCCATGTGCAATTGGTTAAAATTGGGGAATATCCAAGTGATATTCCCCAATTTTCAAAACTGCGCATGTTGTGAAAAACATTTGAAGGATAGTAAACACAACAGCCTCCATTTGGCACGAAAATATGCTCGCATATTTGTCCTTGGGCATATTAATATCTGTTCCTCAAAGATCACAGTTTTCAAAAACTGTTCGCTTCTGAGAGCAGATAATGGTCACAGACAAATATCCGAGCATATTTCTGCGGCAAATGGAGGCTATTTTTTTATCTATACCATGCTCTACAAACATTGGTAAACGTACGCCTGATCTTTTGGGGGTGTTTTTATTTTTATTTTATTTTGTCAATAATTATTTTGGGGGCATTTTCAAGAAAAAAAATTATCCCACTCATGCTTGTTGGATATGAGATGTTTATGAGAATGGCTACCTACATGTACCATCTCACATTCACAGTGCATTTGTGGAATAATATGGTTCAATATTCAATCAGACAAGAATATAATTAACAATTATTCACCAAAGGCGAAATGAACATTGGTGAATATTCACCAATGTTCACTGAGCCTGAGGAAAATGATTGTTTTAGTATAATTTTCAGAGGTGAATATCAAGGACTACAAAATAACAGACTAAAACATAAAAACACAGACACAATTGTTCCTGTGCATACACGCATGCAGCCGTGGTTTTAAACATAAAATACTTAAGCTTACTTGTACATCGATTGTCAATCAATTTACTCATCGAGTTTGGCAGTAAAACAAACGAGAGAAACACTACGAAAAATAAATTCATCTGGTACCTTTGTTTTATTGTTGATGACTTCATTCACAGTTGTCATCATCAAGTATAAATGAGTAGCTTTAGTTTGAAGAAAAATAAATTTCAGTCAATCGATCCGACCTGCTGGCCATCGACGCAACCACTGCATTTACGATTCTTAAAAGCCTTGAATACAAGTTCTTGAGAAGATTTTTGGTCCAAGGGTGACAGCAGTCATTTTGAAAATTCTCCGTCCTCTCAAATATCCTGGACTTGGAGTGATGTCTTTCGAATAAATGAAAACTTCATTCAGCAACCGTCCACCATGTTACAGAAATGGCAAAGATAGCGAGCTTAGTAACCAAGCTCTAGCGGGGTGAATATAGCGTCATATGATGAGCTTTTCAACCAATCAGAGTGTCCAATTCTTATATTCACCTCTAGGAATTATACTAATGTTCAATATTATCATGAAAAAGACTTACTTGACATCAACAGAACCATGGAGTTTACTCTCTTTTTCAATTACATAAGCTGGAAGCTTGACTTTCACTTCAAATTTGGGAAGAACTGCCAGAGGAGATATTATTACAGAATTTGTAAGAATTTAATACCCATCAAATTTCACCTGTCCAGTGGCAGAACTCATGTGTAAATCTGTGTCAGGTTAGTAGTCCATAACAGCCCTGCTTAATGTATCATGGTTTTCATAGAATGAAGCAACCAGGAGTATTTCTACTCCCCCTGGATGGATCATACTAATCTATTTCAGGGTCACCTACCAACATTAAATTCGCTGGCATGGTACAGCTTGTGCAAGGAAACCAATTTTCAGGCTTAACGGTTGGGTAAGCAGTAATTTATTCATGCTAGTGCTTGAAAAGTGAGGCAAAACTAATCTGCGGTACTGAAATATTTAAGTTTGATTCATTTGATGAAATAATGGACAGGTAATTAAGCTCCCCTGGACAAAAAAACTCTCACTGATATACTGTGCATACATGTAAACATGTATATGCATGCGTCCAGTCATAATTATTTTTTTAATTAATAATTACAGACTATTATTTAACAGATGTACCAACCATAAGGCTTAACTTCAATGATTTGCTCTGCTTTCTGATCCTAATGAAAAAAAAGCAACCAATATTACAGTGGAATCCCGATTTCTTTGACCCTATTTTTTGGAGCCTCCTGACGAACCAGAAGTCTTTCTGCTCCTCAGTCGAACACTGTAATTTTGCAACCAGTTTCTCAAACTATCCAATTTTTCGAACCAATTTTCATACTTCCTTGGAGGTTCAAAAAATAAGAATTCCACTGGACATGTAATTTTATCAGTTTACACAAGGAAGACCACATCACAGTAATGCAGTATTGGCATACTTGTAATAAAAGTAGTTGGAAAAACATTAGGGTACAGGAGAGTCAATTTGAATGTATGACCACTGTAATACCAGTGCAGTGCTCTGCCAACTGAGGTATCAAGTAAACTGTGAACCAGCCAAAGTTTGTAACACTGCACATAAAGAAATGTAATATAACCATAGAATATAAAGAGAATATCAAATATTTATCTATATATCACACTGTAAAATTACCGGTATTTGAGCTGCAGGTGAAAGATTTTTATTGATTGAAATAACATAAGACCAAGTTGTGGTTATACTTGTAAATTAATAATACTACACCACATTTGCAAAAATAAAGCTTTAGCCTGAAAAAAATTTGGGCTTCAGAAAGCATTGAATGCATGGGATCAGTTCAGCTTACTGAGTATGGCATGTGGATGTACCAATTTCCTCACCTCTGCTGCTGTCACAGAAATTTTCCAGTCTCCCTCAACTGGTTGCGTAGAAAGAAGAAATTCTCTCTTAACCACACCTAACAAAAGATTTACCCAAGTCATTAATTACTTACACCAGTCCTACATTACAAATAATACCATTGGAATCCTGAAATTGTAAGTGGGCTTTGGCAGCACATGCAGAGAACAATGAAACCAAGGACATTCATGTACAAACCTGATGGGCTGTCAAGATCGACCCAGTGTGCCATTTTGTTTCCATTGGGATCCTGAATAGTCAGTGAACAATAATTACTAATGCATTAAGTTTAAATAAAATATGAAACATTAAAACAATCACCAGAAAACAACTACATGTTAATAACTAAATTCACACAAAACCAACTTAAAGATCTGTTTACCAACTGAAGTCAATTCATTAGATCCTATACATGTATGTCATTTCACTTACCAATATGTCCACTGTCAACTGATTGGGAAAAAAGAGCACAAGTGAAAATTAATAATTAAATTAATGATAAGTGATACATTTTGCAACCATTACTGACTTAATTTTAATTAGCGTTTGCAAGAGGTACAATATTTCATTTACTACTTTAATAACTTGCCTCAACTTGTTTTTAAATATTTTAAACTTAAAAGTTATGTTACCGCTATATCTTTTTAACAAACAACTTGTCCACATCGTCATTTAGCAACAAATAAAACATTTACAGGTAAGACACATTATGCAGGACAGCGCAATGATAAGCTAAAGAACAATGAAAATAAAATGCAATTCAATTTGTATCTCTCACATTGCCAGTGTAAACTCTCAGATCTGGATGGACTCCGAAGATTCGCATCAGAACTAAAATAAAAAAAAGACACATGCACAAATTACATTGTTGCTCTGCTAACTGATCATTTATAACAAAAATCATATACATGTATCTATAAAAATTACTGTGAGCACAATTTTCCTTTCTGCCAGATAGAGTCCAGCAGAATCTCGTACAGCATATAATTTTCATGTTGGGATTCAGAATTTTCTGTATCCCATTCAGTTCTTACCATTCTGCCCTGGCTTGTAAATAGCTTTATCAGTTTGTATGTAGATTGTGAAACCCTTCTCCATAAAACGAATATATCTCAGTTCAGAGAATTTAGCACCTCCAGTGCCATTTACAGACAACAGATAATAATTGTAAATGGAGGTAGAAGCCACGCCATGAGGAATCTGGGGAAAAACAATATTGATGTTTAAAATTTAAAAAAAAAAACACTTTAAGGAAAACTTGAGAAAACTGATCACATATAAACTGTACAGCGCTAGCCAAATACCTGTAATGTTAATTCTCTTGGGGATCCTGTCAAAAAAAAGTCAAGTAAAGAGATTAATTTTATAGACTGAGTGTATTATTTTTTAAAGTTAAAACTTTATGACTGTGTACTGCATGACAAATTTAAAAAAAAATAAATCAAAGAGATTACCATAGCTTACCTTTGTTAAATATGCCACTTCCACTCACAATCAAACGTTTCTGCTTGTTATCCATAATACCACATGTGATATCCACTGGGCTAGTAACAGCATCACTTAATGCCACACGTATCTTCAAAGGTTGCCCCGGTCTGAAGACACTGGGAGCGGTAATGAAGTATGTGCTGCAAATGAAATAGAAATGTCATATACCTCTAGAGTCCAGGCCTACACCAACAATGTAGGATTATGTCAGACGTCAGGATCAAGTTTCTTCATAACTGAATTACGAGGTGTTTTAAGATAAGTATTTATTATTAAGTTTGTTTGTTTCTTCTCAGGCTCAGTAATATTCCTTTCCTGCTGTTCCTTCNGTGGCAATCGTGTGCTCAAAGATTTTGAGTTTGTAACTAATACAAGAACGTTAACAGTGTAAAATCTTTGTCAAAGAAAACAACTGAGAAAAGTCATTATTTTGGGTCAAAAAAAGAAAATTGCAGAAGGAAGAAAAGCTGGCAGGACAAGCAAAAAAAATAAACTGCCCCCCGTTCCCCCTAGCCCAAGGTCTGGAACCACCACTGTAGTGCTAAAACTAACTGAGGAAAGGGCCAAGGGTGTATAGCAAAGGGAGAGAGGTCTGGGACAAGCTATGGCACTTGCTGCTTTAGGCACTTACAAGCATGCTGGACTGTGGGTTCAAGCCCTGGCTGGGGTCACTGCATTGCGTTCTTGGACAAGTCACATTACAAGCATGCTGGACTGTGGGTTCAAGCCCTGGCTGGGGTCACTGCATTACGTTCTTGGACAAGTCACATTACTTACACAGTGCCTTTCCCCCTCCCCTTGTTGTATAAATGGGTACTGGCAAATTAAATGCCGAAGAGTAACCCTGCAATGGACTAACATTGAGGCCAGCAGCCCTCACCTTACCTTACCCACCCTCCCCCTGACAGCATTTTATTAAAAGTCTACATATCCAATCCCGGGGGGGGGGGGTACTTTGTAAATCTTCTGGGAAGGGGTATGCCATATGCCCCTGGGGGAGGTACTTTGGGAATTTCTGGGTGGCGATGTGCCGCTGGGACCCTGGAACCCTTAGCCTATACCAGAGATAGTTCAGCTGAATTTTGCTAACCCATACTAGAGTAAACTACCCAAATCCACCCATCTATCGACACTGTTGAGGCTGATTTGCGTAAATTTAAACTTGCCGATTTAATTTTTTGTATATTTTTGAGTGGCAATTCCTGGTTTCCTTAATCTAGATAAAATCCTCAACCAACCAGTCAGTTTTGTGAAAAATGATACCCTATTCTAGACCCAAACGCTCTGATTTATATACCCTATCCTAGAG